GTGTATATATAGCTACGTCTGCTAGCGTATTTAGCTACGTCTACTAGTGTGTGTATATATAGCTACGTCTACTAGCATATTTAGCAGCATCTACTAGCATATTTAGCTACATCTACTAGCATATTTAACTACTCCACTGACTCAGTTCTTCTGACGGTGAAGCGATGAACAACCTGAGAAGCTCTGAGTGTATCAGTGTCTCCACAGTAATAAGGTCGGCGGTGTTTTGTTGAAAGAGGTGGGACACAATCTTATTGACCTTAAATCAGACACAGAGTCCAGACAAAGTCTTAAAGTCCTCCATCACTGAGCTTGGGTTCATTACAGAGAAAATCATAAAACTGAAGATGAACAAATATATAAAGCTGTGACCTCCATACACCTGAAATCATCCCTGATGTTCTCGTCACTGTTTTCAATCCTTCTGAGGATCCGGCGTCTCTTCTCCGGTGGTTTATTGTCGTCCAGACACAAAGTAGGATGCAGGTTTTCCTCCGTCGGCCGTTTGTCAACAAAGTGAAATGAGCTCACATGCAGAGTTTAGGTGGTCTCTTCGAGTTCAGATGTTTCATCCACATTCTTCTTAATTCCTCATCTGTAGGTAGGAGATGAAACTAAACCTGTTTTCACAGGAACTCTTTGTTTTGGTCCGTGTTCAAACTCTGTTGTTGGAGCCACTGATTTAGTTTGGTCTGGTTGTTCTGCAGCCCTGAACACAACAGGTACCTGAACGCAGCACGGCTCTTTTAGTAAACTTTATGGTTGTTAAATGTGAACAAAACAAAATCAGAGTTTTATCTGTTAAACTGAATGTAAATTACTTTCAAATGTTCTCTGCTACCATGCTAACCAACGCTGACAGCTACTTCCTGTCTGACAGGAAGTTGTACCAGAATCATTTCTACAGCAGAACCCCCAGGAATAATGTGGATTAAGAGTTGTTCTGTAGAGGAAATAAGTCCTGCGTTAACAGAACCTGAGCTGGATCGGGTGCTTCAGGTTTGTAGCTCTTCATGGTTTGTCCTCTGTCTTCCAGGCGAGGCAGATCAACATCCACAACCTGTCGGCGTTCTACGACAGCGACCTTTTCCGCTCCAACAAGTTCAGCCGCGACGGCAAGAAGAAACTGATCCTGCAGCAGTTCTAAGACTCCTCTTCCTCCTGAACTCCCCCCTGCAGCGGGTCGGTGAAGAGGACCAGCCTTCACATCAGACTTTGAGAAGAAACCTCCAGAAACGTTCCACAGCTTTCTTCAGGCGTTGGTTCTCGGAGGTGGAACAGGTTTTTGGTGTTTCTGGAGGCTCCTCGACCTTCAGACGAGTCCTTTCCTGATTGTAAATAAATGTAAATGTTGGTTCCTGTCTCTAGATGTTTTATATTCGGTGTTTGATGTTTTCGTTGCTGCGGCTGAAGACCGATAAATAAAAATAAACTGAATTAAGAGTTGAAAGAAACGGTGGAATTCTGTTCTGGTGCTGAAACGTGTTTCTGAATGTCACGTTAAGAAGATTTATGTTTGAACTTGTACAGATCTTCGTGATAGTTTCTGTGGACATGGACAAACTGATCCATGCAGGCTCAAACACTCACTGATGTCCCTCAGATCATGTCTCTGGACCTCCTGGTCTTTTGTCTCCATCTGGCTGGGCTCCGCCCACTTCTTGACAGCTGTTTCAGTCAGGTTGGGGTTTTGGGAAGACCGATTCAGGAATCAGTTCTGATGTTTGGGGTCATTGTCCTGATGGATCCAACTGTCCCGTCAGTCTAGCTGCTGCAGTACCACAGCATGATGCTACCACCTCCATGCCTGGCGCGTCTGACCATCATGAAGACATACGGACGTCATGCTAGAGTCTCGTTCTTCAACATCTGAAGCAGATGTCCTCCCAGCTGAGGACAGTGAGTGTTGGTCCATCAAATCCCTTTCGTTCTAACAAATGGAAACCAGCAGCTGCAGTCGATCATGGTCACCAACAGGAAGTTAACAGACCTTTTCAAGTTAAAAGCTTCAGCAGCACTTCTCATCAGAGTCTGGTGAGTGGATGGAGATATTTGAGCCTGTATGTATATTTTTAACTTGTGTAGATCAGAGAAAATCCTGAAAAAACTCAAAAATGTTTTTTTTAATAATTTAAGTTGTTTGTTGTGGAAACGTTTCCAGTAAAAACCAGAATAATTCTGACGGTAATGTCCATGATGAGTGGACAAAGTCCAGCTGTCTTTATTTACAGTTTTACTTATTTTTATTTTGACTTTTTTTTTATGATGTCAATCTAAAAAGCAAATATGTTCTTGTTTTTAGTATTGCACCCTGATTTATTGTTTTGTACACTTGTTTTAACTGAATATTACTGTAGTTTATTGTTGTTATTGTTTACTGTTATTGTTTGTACTTTATATGTTCTGTCTGGAACAGGTCTCTTGTAAACGAGTGCTCGTGACTCAATGAGACTAACGTGTAGAAATAAAGGTTGATTGATTGATTGATTAGTTAAATCACATGTTCTTGTGAAAGCGCGCCCTCTGGCGGGCGGAACAGGAAGTGCAGGCGGACCCGCTGGTTCGGTACTCGGTTTTGCTGCAGCAACACAGCAGATCCGGTTCTGTTTTGACCGCAGCTCTGCTCCTCCTCCCGCACAAGCTCGCGTGCACGCGCGGACCCCCTCCCCCCCACCCCCAGCAACCCCGCTAAACCCGCACATCATCCCGGACATGAAGCGGCCGTGAGATCCTGGACCCTGATCCGAACTCTGCAGACATGCCGGGCCTCTTCATCCTGACCGGTGAGTCTCCTCCTCATCCTCACAGGGAAGAAAACGACAATCTGAGGAAACGGGTGACGTCATCAGATCCATTCAGTGATGATCAATCTGATTATTTGTTGTTGTTAGTGATGATGAGGAGGAGGAAGGCTGCAGCACGCAGTTTGAATGCAGCAAACACGCTGCAGTGGTGCACACGCGCACACGCACACCTTCATTACACGTGACAGTTTTAATTCTGTTTTCAGCACCACAGATGGAAATTAAACCATTTAAAATGTATTTTACGACTTCCTGCTTTAAATTAGATTAGTCAGATTATAATCAGATTATTGTTAACTGTAAAATTATTTAAAGAAACGTTTATAATCTGGAGGGTTTTTATTTTTGACCAACCTGGAAATTTTCTGCTTAAAAAGAGAAAATCAACAAATAAGATGCTGAGGCGTCTGTTAGCAAAATATCTCATGAACCTGAGGGCAACGATCCTCCCAGAAGGTCCTAACAGCCAAACTAAAGATGGCCGCCACGGCTAATCACCCTTCTGTCAGACTGTGGTAGTAGCTGAGAGTCGTCCTCAACACGACGCCGATTGAAGGTTTGACCAAAGGTCTTATGTAATGTTCTCAAATCTTTTGATCCATCCATCATCATCCATCTTCATCATCCATCCATCATCATTCATCTGTGAAGAGAAAGGAGGCGT